GTGTGTGTGTGTGTGTGTGTGTGTGTGTGTGTGTGTGTGTGTGTGTGCAGGAATGCAGGTGCTGATGTACTCTGTGCAGGAGGCGATCAGTGGCAGGCCTCGCTGGGTCAGAACAGGAACGGACATCTGTTACTACAAGTAGGTGCACTCAGAGGGGGAGAGGGAAATGACAAAAACTATCTTTTTATTAAGTGTTACAGTAACATGGGGCAAGTGCAAAGTTTTTATGCAGCATACCAATTTTTCCATACTGCAGACAACGTGCTGGTGTTTATTGATCACCTTGTATATTTATGTATTTTAAATACAGTAGCTATAAAGCTCTCTCGACTACTTTATTGCTTGCTACACTGTCGAAGTTATTATGAGCTGGTATTAATGTATTTAGTACTGCAACATTTTTGAAAAGCATTCTTTAGAAGGAAAAGGGAGACGCACCCTTTTGTCACAAATTGCACCACATATTTATTTTTGAGATGCAACTTTACAATCAATTAATGCAATTCAATACAACTGTCCTGCCATAAAGTATTTTTATGATTTCCCACAATGTTTAGGGCGTTAGGGTTTATTTTGTCATTGTCAGAGTCCTCCCTATTAGCGAACATCAGGGAGGAAACACATCTCAATATAATGTAGTCCAGAACTACATCACCATAAACTATTACCTCAGTAATATACACATCATTTTATTTTACACATCTCTGAATTTTTCAGAATTAGGTTTATTGCCAAGTAGTTTTTCACGTATATGGAAATTGCCTTAATTGTTTTTGGTGCATAACAATAAACATAGCAAGAGACAATACAGATAAAAAGCAAGTACTGCAAAAGTCAAGAAACATGAAAATATAGAATAAAAGAAATTACAATAAAAATATGAAAAGAGATACTAAAATATGCGCAACATATCTGTTTTTAAATGAAAGTTGTACAATTTGTGCATTTCCCCCGGGACTGCGAAAGTTCACAGTATGAAGTATAAAGATAATGTGCAATTTACAGAGATAGTAGTCCAACATTATAAACTAGGCAGAGTGTATGGAACAGCTGTTGTATTGAATTGCAGTAGATTATACAGGTGTACCTAATAAAGAAGCCATTGAGTGTGTTGTGAGTGCTGTATCGTGCAACATTTAGTCATGACTCATCTTCTCCTTAGGAATCACTTTGCCAGGAGTTCCATTGCAGCGGGTGGTCAGAAAGGAAAGTCCTATTATACAATGACATTCAGCACAAGCTTCAGCCATAAGGACGATGTCTGCTACTTTGCCTATCATTACCCGTACACCTACTCCACTCTTAAGGTAGTATTACAATACCACTGTTTGCTGTAATCCAGAGAGCACTAGCATTTAGTAGTGTACATATCTCTGAGCACTAACAACCCTCACCCCGTCTTGTCCATATTGTCTAGTTGTAAGAGTTTTGCTCCCTGCTAAACCTCCCAGACCCCCAGTGGGACCCCAGATGCAGCCTCATGATGGAGTCAACTGTTTTGTTTTCTTTGTATCATTTATTTGCCGTTCAAATCTGAGCTCAGATAGCTACTGTGCTCTCAAAATACCGTACACTCATTATGCCAATAGTTATGTTGTATAGTTACATTTAGTCGGCCTTTTATATAGAGTGACTCAGCAGAATTGCTTATAAAACAAGCAACAATAGAGAAGCCCAATCTGAATCGCATAATCACACAATAAACAGCCAGTGCAACAATACAACAGTAAAATGTGTGAAGAACGGGGGGGGGCTCAAATGGAAGTTGTATTTAATGTTAGTGAGCGAAATGTAAAAAATGTAATCCTGTCATTGTATCCTCAGATGCACCTGTCCAAACTGGTGGCTTTGAGGACCCCCAAGATCTACCTGAGACAGGACGTCCTCTGTGAAACTCTGGGGGGAAACAGCTGCCCCCTTCTCACCATCACTGCCATGCCAGAATCCAACTCTAATGACCACATCTGTCAGTTTAGTAAGTAAATCACCGTAGGTCTATTTTTTTTTTTTTTTTATTTGCTCACCATCACTCCCATTCCTGAGCAGAACAATTTCTGTGTCCTGTAAAAAACTGGAAAAACCTTTGTAGCCTCAGCAGCCTTTATTGTTTGTTCCCAGAACTCACATTTTCTGAGACTGAGTTCATTTTCCTGGTGAAATAAAATCCTCGATGTTAAAAAAATAAATGGCAAAGAAATCAATGAGTTGATCTGGAAAAATGTTCAATATGCAACAAAATCAAGTTCACATTGGTAAACTGACGTGGGTGTCCAAAATGTATCTTTTCCAGATGTCCTGAAGAGATTGTTAATGAGCCATAATATCTAAACATTTAATGACTGTTGTGTTGCCGATTAACAAACCTTTCTGACAAATCTAATCTAGTCATTTTGGTGATAGAAGTTCATTCTCATCCTTTCAGAAAATCTGTGTGACAAAATAATTTAAGCTTAAAGGTCCAACTTCCTCATGCTCGGCTCCAGCTCTCCAAAATGTCCTCTAAGAAATTCAATAGTAAGTGACAGAAATGTTCCTTTCTAATGCTTAACTAATGAAAAACCAATCCTTGCAAGAACATTTTACTGCATCACTACTGTGTATTACATTAGAACAGCCCTGGGGCATCAGGGCATGCCAGTGTTCCCAAGTAGGTTTTCTGTCCAATGTAGTTCACTGATGCTTCTCCTCACCTGTGAAAACTTTAAATTGAAGAATCTGTTTCTTTGTTTCCTCATTCTTCTATTTGTTTGTGCTGTACTCTCCCTCTTTCTCCCTCTTCAGGGAATCGTCCATTGATCTTCCTGTCGGCCAGAGTGCATCCTGGAGAGACCAACGCCAGCTGGGTAATGAAGGGCACGCTGGAGTTCCTGATGGGCACCAGCCACCTGGCAGCCAGCCTGAGAGATGCCTACATCTTCAAGATAGTCCCCATGCTCAACCCAGATGGAGTTGTAAATGGAAAGTGAGTAAAATGAGTCTAGAAATGAACACGCATTCACAGCTTTCAAATATACACACTGAAGATGCATACACCTGCCGAGCCTGGGCCTGCACGTTGGTCACAGCTTTATTTACCGTTAACACACACACACGATCTTGTCTTGAAGGATTCTCCAGCTGTTGCTCTGTCCTCCTTCACTCTGTGTCCTCCCCCTCTTCTGCCATCTCCTTTCTGCTGTAGTCATCGTTGTTCTCTGAGCGGAGAGGATTTGAATCGCCAGTGGCAGAACCCCAATGCAGAGCTCCACCCCACCATCTACCACACTAAGAGCCTGCTGCAGTACCTTGCACACATACAAAGGGCACCACTGGTATGACCTCTTCAGGGGTATTTTGCACTTTGCCGCATCATCTTTCATTTGCGATGCATAAAGAGCCTCTTCTAACGTCTTATTAATGTTGGTGCCATTCCTCCTGTTGAGATGCACGCTCTGCATGTCCACTAAATTTCACATCAATAAATAACCACATTGGTTTTGAGACATTAATGCAGTTACCATACACAGCAGCCTCAATAGCCCTCTTTAATACACTGTGCGTCAGCAGGTTGGATATAATGGGATATTGCTTTTATCGGAGATTTGTTTACTGTACAAAGGGTGATGACTTAACAACACAGAGCAAGATGAGGCCGCTGTTTGTCCTCTGGAAATAGATCTGAGAAAATGTCTTTTGAGAAATATGAGCAGTACCACTGACATTTACAGCTACTATAACACAGTATCACTGTGCATTTACAGCTACTATAACACAGTATCACTGTGCATTTACAGCTACTATAACACAGTATCACCGTGCATTTGACGATGATACAGTGAATTAATGTTATCTGTCTCTGATGATTTGTAGTTTTGTGTTAATCCTTTTTTTACACAGCTATTTAAACAAGAGGAGATCATCTTAATCCTTTTCTCCCTCTATTTCCTGTGTGTGTGTGTGTGTGTGTGTGTGTGTGTGTGTGTGTGTGTGTGTACATCCACATTTATGCACAGGTATTCTGCGACTACCACGGTCATTCCAGGAAGAAGAATGTGTTCATGTACGGCTGCAGCGTGAAAGAGACAGTCTGGCAATCCAATATCAGTGCTACGTCCAGTGACTTACAAGAGGACCTTGGATACAGAGTGAGCACACACCACACACACGCAAATGAGCTGTGCCTCATCCTTACAGTACCACTATCTCACTCTTCCCCTCTGTTTTCAGATTACTGTTCTCACATCGCTGCATGATAATTGCATTGAACTCAGTACAAAGAGATCACCTGTATTGAGTTTTACAGAAAAGAGATGGTATCAGAGCAGCTTATATTTACATATCAGCACATGTGTGTTCGTTATAGTGTATGCACTGAAATACAATCCTGTGTCCCTCACTAAAGAACAGATTGTCGCACCATATTACATTACTTTGCTTCCTGTTTATCTCTCCCTCTGTGTCATTGCAATGGATTTCCTTTTTCTCTTCAATTGAAATCCCTAATCTATTAGTCTACTGTCTATTTAGTCATTAACATGTGTTTCGACACCAGCTGTTATCTGACAAACATACTCCGATTGCTTTTACTTTGGTCATTTTAATAATTCACCTTGAATTTCACTGTGCAGCGGGGAAGCTGGTCAGGCCAACATCTCTTTTGCATTATGGAATGCAAAAAATGTTTTTAATTCAGCAGAATGCGAATAAAGATGCCAGTTCAAGACAGAGTTTTCGAGCGGACGAGTCACTTGGGGCTACAAACCCACAGCAAACATTGTGGGTAGCAGCAGTCAATACTTCTGCTTTCCCAAGCAACTGCTCGGTAGATAAGCCAGTCTATCTTGGACACAGTTATTCTACTACAAAATGTACTTCACCATCTGCCCCCCCCGATGTACTCACGGACCCATACCGACACGAAAACACTCAAACAGTTTCATGTGTTTTTCAGGCGCTTCCTAAGATCCTGTCCCAGATCGCCCCGGCCTTCAGCATGACCAGCTGTAGTTTTGTTGTGGAGCGCTCCAAAGAGTCAACGGCCCGTGTTGTTGTATGGAGAGAGATAGGAGTGCAGCGCAGCTACACCATGGAGAGCACGCTGTGTGGCTGTGACCAGGGAAAATATAAGGTAAGCGTGAATTTTATTTAGTTTCAATGAAGTGTTTATGTTTTATGTAGTTTAATACAATAACTCTGCAGTGAAATACTCTCTTTTGTGAATTTATTAAAGAGACAGTGGAGAGAAAAGACAGGAAATGAGAGACATGGGGACACGCAACGAAGGTCCCTGGTTAGACTCAAACCGGGGACATTGCCGTTCATGGTCGGCTTAACCCTTTGGATACCAGGGCAGCCTGGACATTTGTTTGCATATCTTTGCATATATGCAAATGAATGGGCCACAGGAGGCAAATTGGCCAGAGCTATTTTCCTTTCTGACAAAACTTCAACAAAAACAGTTAAACAGTATGCACAGAATGAATTGCCTAGCTAATGTGTCTGGTTTTATTGCATTGTAGATGTGTTTTGTTGTGTCCACCGTCTGTAAGTGAAAGGGAGGTGCTTCGATAAATCTAATGCAACGTCCAGCAGGTGGAGCTGCAATCCTTTTTTTTCCACTTTTTCTTTGCTTCGCCTCTCTGTTTTATCCTCCTTTTGACCCCTTTACCTTCCTTTCTTCTCTCTCACTGTCTTTCCACCCCAGCTGATTTCCTTCCTACTGAATTCTGCCAATGTCTAGGGATGCCATTTTGGCACTGATTAGCACACCCACCGGTGTATCTGCAAGTGTTTGTCCAGATGTGCAGGAACTAATGTCTACTGTATTGTAGCTGCATATCTCTGTGGCCACGCCAAGTTTTGATGTCCGTAGCTCTGCTCTTGGGAAATAGGAACATGAAAGTTTTTTGGTTGAGTCGGGGGTTAGCTCTGTGTGTGTGTCTCCCCGAGTGAGTATTCATTTACTGGTATGATTGTACAGCACTGGGAAGACTTTGTTAGGGTTGCCGGTGTGAGTGCATATGCTTTTGAATGTGTGCTTCCTGCAAATGGAATATATTATCATGTTTCTACATGAAAAGTTTCCTCAGCAACTGCTTTCCAGCATTGAGAATTGGGACGTTTGAAGATGGACAACAGCTTCATCCCCCGGCTCCAGAGCAGCTAAAAAAAACTACAGCAGCCATTTTAAAATAGATTTCTGTTGGATTCTTGGAATTTTTTTTTTTATTTAGCTATATGTTGGAAGTGTGCACATACTGTGTGTGTGTTCAAGTTTTTTGGAATGTGGCATCTTTGTTTGTGTGTGACACATTTTAGTATCTATCTGTTGGTATACATGGTCTCTGATGTGCACATGTTCTCTTCAGGGTCTTCAGATCGGCACCAGAGAGCTGGAGGAGATGGGAGCTCAGTTCTGTGTGGCCCTGCTGAGGCTGAAAAGGCTGACGGGGATCCGCAATCACCAACACCTGCTGGATTTAGAGAGCGACATCATTGGGACACAGACGAAAGTGGTCAGGTTAGTAGTAATGTATCATGCTGCAAAGTCACGCACAGACCATGCAGGTGCACACAGATGCTGTGAGGCGGTTTAGAGTGTTGCTTTAAAGGTTAGAAACTCACACACACAACACACAGTCAAGGAATATAGTCTGTGATCCAATAGGAACAAGAAGGCAGGTTCACACTACAGATGACAGGCTTTTTCAACTGTTTTTTCCCAGCATTGTAACCTTCCCAAGATACAAACTTTGAAATAAATGTGCTACCTAGAGCCATATAGGGTTCTATGGCTTGTCTCCATAGGAAAACCCTTTTTGGTTCCTGGTAGAACCTTTTATATAGGTTCCACCTGGAACTCGTTCAGAGGGTTGTACCTAGAACCCAACATAAAGGGTTGTACCTAGAACCCAACATAAAGGGTTGCACCTAGAACCCAACATAAAGGGTTGTACCTAGAGCTCACTGTGAAAGGTTCCATCCAGAACCCCATATGAGAGGTTGTACAAAGAACCCTTCTTTGGTGTAATGGACCACACAGGACCCTCTTTGGAGGTTCTATCCAGGTTCTACTGGGAATTTTTATTTAATTACAAAAAGGTTTTGTAAAAAACTCTTTCTTCAAAAAAGCGTTCCTCAGAAGCTAAAGGTTCTGGGTAGAACCCTAGCCCTTCAGGAAGAACCCTTTTGGAACCCTTATTTCTAAGAGTGTATCTCGGATGAGAAGTATTTTCTGCTGCCAAAAATTCTACCTGGAAAGCAGTAAAGTGTTTACAGACCGTTTTCCATTTATCTGCACAAATCCCCCTCTTTAGTGCCAGACACGTTTCCCCGTTGGCACTGATACTCAACGGTGTGACTGTCACCCCGGATCACCTCTGAAGCACTACTCAAGAAACGGATGAAGCCATGCATTTATGGAGGGCTGCTGTGAGCATCATTGAAATTCTATCAATGATCATGTGTGAGGAATTAATGACAACTCCAGAGTGAGAGAAATAATGATATTGCTGACAATTATTCTAACCGATTCTCCTCTAAGAGGGAGAGTATAACAGCCATTTTTATTTTAATTAAACCCTTCACACCTACACAGTGAGGTTGGCTGGGGCCACAGTGAACACGATGGTACAGTGTGGATGTAAATGCACATGGATCATGCAGATGGGTAGCCTACACGGCCTTCTTGCACAGTCGCTTGTAGCTGGAATATATAAGTAGGAAAGAAAAATATATATTTAAGTGAGCAGTATCAGAGCAGTGCCAGTGCGTCCAGTACAGTGTATTATATCGGTACAGTGTATTATATCAGTACAGTGTATTATATCAGTACAGTGTATTATATCTTCACATTGTTCATTACTCTTGTCACAACGTGTTTGCTTTCTGGAAGAGTTCATCTTGATTATTGTCTTTGAGTTCTGGCCTCTGTTTCTCTCTTCTCTATGTTGGCAATTACAAAGTATAGACTTCTCAAATAAAAAGTATTTTTTTATGTTATATCAAATATTTGTATTTATTTATATTTTGTAATTTTGTATTTATTCATATTCAGTAATTTATACATTTCTAATCTAATTAATGAATCAATTATTTGATGAAATAGTAGATGGGTGATTAAATACTGAAATGAATTGTTACCTGCAGTTCTACTTCAAATATGTTTCTTCTTACTATTAAAACCTCATCAATATCAATAACGACGTCAAACATTGCGCTTGATAAAACGAAGAAAAATATTTTGTTGACAAACTGATGTTAAGTATGTTTCTTTTAAAGCTTTTTTAAAGAGGGCCTTGGACGACCCAAAACACAAGAGTTAAAGATAAATGAGGAAAATTACATTTGAACTCTAAAATAATAATAATAAAAAATGTCAGTTGCACTAAAGTTTCTTGAGTCTTCATCCACATTTTAGGAAAGGTCTTCAAACAATCGTGAGCCAGTGGTATCCGTGTACATCCTAACAAATGACCACATAGCTTCACTGTATGTCAATCAACTCTATTGAAATGTGAGGTCCACACGGATCAAACTGTACTTCAGTTCACCACCGCAAATACATTATTAAACTTGGCCAAACCCAAGCTGTGACCACCAAGGTTATCTTAATTTCTTATTTCTTTTTTTTTAATGTCAGCAATCGCTCCTCCACAGATTTGTTAAAGCAGTTGATTTGAAAGAATGGCTTTCAACTCAAAACCACTTAATGCTCACGTCTCTCCATCTCTCTGTGTCTCCCAGCCTCCCTCTCTCCTGCTCTACTCTAATATTGATATATTCATTCATCATTTATGTGTCTGATCATTAAGGGACTCCAAAAGTGTTTTTGTGCGCTTGTGTGTTTGCGTGAGTGTCCTTTGGGATTGGTTGCTCTCATCCCGGGTTTATGGTTTTTATGCGTGGGGCTTGGTATGGTACCACTTACCATTTAATAGGTCATCATAACAATGATATCGTGGCCATTGGGAAGCGTCTGCAAATAAGTGGGTGTCTCAGAATGAGTAAATGGGTGGATACGGGCATGGGTGTGTTTTTGTGTGAGTGTAAGGAAGACAGGAAGAGATGTACTCATTTAAGTGTTTGGAGATGTGGAGATTTATCCATGTGAATGAAGGTAATTAGGGATTTTAACGCACATATACTGTTCTGTATATCGAGATGGACTGTCTATAGAGATGGCTGCAATTGACTGATACAGAACATGTAACCCAAAGAAAGGAGAGATTGGGTTTGGTATTTCTATAATGGCTTGTAATGGTTGACTCACAACCTTCATTATCTGTTTGGACAACATTCTGTCCATCCACATCATTTTACACACACGCACACACATGCATACATACACATTTACTGTACATATACTGATGCACAATTGCTCAGTCTCTCTCTCTGCTGCACTCACACACTGGTGAGCTTGGTGGGAGATCATTGTCTGAGCCCCTCGGATCGACTGTCTCCCTGGGATCACATTTCAGACCATTAACACCATTAAAAACCCACTAAAGCCACTAAAACCTCAAAGAACCAGCAACCATTTAACCATTAAGACCCACTGGGAAAATAACAGCCTCCCCAGTCAGAGCACACTGAGATTTTAAGAAACATTTTAATATGTAAAATATTGTTGTAGATTCAGTGTCTGTTGTTTGGAACGTTTTTTGACAATATTTTTATTTATCAATATATTCGTTTAGTTATAGAGCTGAAACAGTTGCTTGATTAGGCGGCATACAGAAAATTCATCGAATAATCATTCAAGTCATTTAACAACATTCTCTGGTTCCAGCTTATCTAAGTTGAGGATTGGCCGCTTCATCACAAACTCCCAGGAGCCCAATGTGATTGGCTTTTGTCACATTTTCTAAACCAATCATTTATTAATTAATTTTAAATCATCAATTTTCAGATGATTGTCGAAATGCTATGAGATCTTCGGGCAGAATTTAGAATATAATGGCACACTCTAAGATTACAGGCGTCAATTTTTTTTCTACCTAAGCAAAGATCACATTTATCCAAATAAACTGGCATGTTGATAATCTTACGTTTTGTATGTGTTTGATTTGTGCTTTTAAGAAATGAGCTTCTCAACAGTACATTTTCAAGGGCCATGAAACCCATTTCAGACGAGTGTTTACTCTGTGAAATCAGAGAGCTCTTAGTCTCCGGTGCCTCTGAGCTCAGCTCAGAGTGAAGAACAGTGACATGGCAGTCGTATACCACACTACTATATGGTGTATGTGAGGGAAGATATGTATTTGTTTTCAAGACGTGCTATGCAAATGTTTATCATTTGTTGTATATTTTCTCAGAAATAGTGCATGCAGAAAAACATTTTGTAATTTAAAATATCCATCGGCATCAATGAGATGGATCCTGACAAGGTGAAGGTGAGGAATATGACCGTGACGAAGTTAATGACACTTTTTATTTTGTCCTGCAGCAGCAGCCCCACCACCTACGTGATGGAGGAGGATGAGCCGTCCTTTCTGGAGGCGATAGACTACAGCGCAGAGAGCAACGATGAGGACGCCGAGCCTGAAAACGAGCACGCCATCGAAGTCCAAGAGAACCCCATCCACCTCGATCAACTGTCCGACTGCGAGACGAATCGCAGGGACTGATGCTGAGGTGATAATCTCGTAGATCCCTGGCAATTTGAGTTCTAAGGTGAAATATTCACAACACACTTCTCACTTTGTGAATAAATAGCTTAGATTCACACCTCCATATAGACACTTTACGCTGCTACGTAGGCTACATTGAGGTGCTCCTTGCCCAGATGGATTGATTTTGTTGGCCCACTGGACCCAACTGTGTTGCTCAATGAATGTTCTCACCTTTCACCGTCATACTATAACCTTCATGGACTGTAACCCCTGACCTCAGACACCATATAGCCTCTGAGATTCACTTATAGCTAGCCAGAGCAGCAAACAGCAGGCACCGCCGATCCTTAACTGGAACCCTTGTCCACTTGCTAATAGAGCCAGTGGCTTCTTACAGGTACTGTTTTTGAGTCTCCTCTCACACATCACTCTGTGTTTGGTTAAAAACTCCTGGTGATGGGAGGAACCTGGATCTCCCTCACTGACCAGCTTAAAGATCCAATCACCCTGCCATACTTAGTTCCTTTCTTTAGTCTCACCCGGGACTTCCTTGTGTCCTTCCTTGCTTGCCTCCTTCCTTCCATATTTTTCTGACAAGGCAGTGGTGTCTAAACGGGATGCAGGGGTGACCAAGCAGCTCTATCGTAGCTGCAGGTCGACGTCCATCATCCCGAGTGTCTCGTGAAGAGAAACCTACTTCGATGTAACTACACTTGAGCTGTGACCACACGTCCTCCCTTCACCCCTCCCTCTTGGGCCACAATGCTTGTGGTGGGATTATCTATGTGCTGTTTGCCTTGCTTCATCCAGAACTGAAACTATTTATATTACTCAAATGTAGAATGTTCACGTCTTTATCAAGACAAACCTCGTGCTATAAAAGAAATGCAGATAGAAACCACAAACTAACTAACAGGCCTGGTTTGAAATTCTAGGCTCACGTATAGCATTACAAACATGAAGATGGAATGTAAAACATCCACATGCACAGTGTTTTCATTGTTTTTAATATTAGACAGTATTAAACTGAAAAAAAACGTAATGAACAAGGCGCATGAGCTTCAGAGAGCAAAAAAAACCCTTTTGCACTTTGGATAGACACTACACACACACGCGCGCGCAACACAAAGAGAAACAAAGCGAATCACTTTACAACATGTCACAGTTTGCAAACCTCAGCCTCAGTCACCTCTTTACTTTGAAGTGCTCAGAGTCCAGTCCAAAGCTAGTGGTAACATTGCTGTGATGTTTTTAAAATTATACTGGAATTTAGTTTCCTTTTTATCCGTTCCTGAGATCTATGTGTACATTTTGTGGAGACCCATGCATTAACACAGATGGTGCTTTGTATTGAGACATTGTTTGATTTTTTTTCTGTATTTGTCCACGGAGATGAGGTACTTTTCTGTTGCATTTGTACAGCGAGCGCATGGCTATTTTTCTGTTACTTTAGTTCTGTAATTTATTAAGTATTGTTTTCTGGGATGCAAACCTGTTTGTATATGAGGCTTTTTAAGTGTATGAGTGCAAGTGTGTGTGCAGGAGTTAAAGTTATTCCATTATTCAGCCCAGCTAATGCTCTTACAGTGTGTTTCTTCTTTCACTTTGACTTTCCCCTCGTACTCTCCTTCAAACATGTTCTCTCTCCTCCCCTCTGACCTCCCTCGTTCCCTCGTTTTCTGTCCTTCGCTTGGCTCTACTTACTTTCAGATTTCACTCAACAACTTACAAACCCAGGGAGGTAACTGTTCCTGGCTCGCGGGTGCGTCTATGGGATGTAAATAATGTGAATGAATGTCCCTATGAGGATTGTGTATGCTGTTATATTTATGTTTGTCTTTGCAGTTTACGTCAGGCTTCTTTTGTTTTATGTTTGTTTTGAGGGAAACGAGCAGTGATGGCGATTCATTTAAAGTTGATCGTAACACAGAAAATGAAGATATGGGAAATAAAATGTGAATGTCGTAAACTGTCTGCTGTATTTTATTATTCTTAAATGTCACACATTTGTGCCCATGTCGATCTTTCTCTCAAACTTGGTAAAAATAACTGTAAATGGATTCTGACCAGGTTATGGGAAGAAAGAGCTGTAACTAAAACTTTATCAGGGAAAAAAAATGTTCTTACAATCTGGGTTATATTTTAATAGTTTTGCTTTCACCTTTTAGTTTCACCCTCTGACGTTGGTTTGGATTATTTGGTGAAACTGGACTTTATTAAACGGCCTCTCATGTTTTCAATACCTCGTCCACTCCCTTGTAAGGCTGCGGAGCATTGCAGCCGTTTCTCTGCCGTTACCTGGTGAGAAACGTGTTCACATATCTGGGATAAATGAGGATTTACTAATACGTTTAGTTTAGGTGTACAGGGAGTACGGTTATGTTTAGATTCAGTATTAAGTATTGTGATGGCTGAAGTATTGAATTTATTGTTTTAAAGATATAAATGTTTAAGGGGATTCGTGTTGTAGTTTTACAAATCATGGACTTTGTAACTCACATGTACATTTCAGGCACTGTTGGTATAGATCTATATATGTACTGCAAGAGGAATAATTTCCCCTTTCGTCTCCTCAGATAGGTATGCATACATATAGATATAGATATTTATCTATCGATCTCTTCTCTGCAGAGACAGAAGGGGAAATTATTCCTCATTATGTAGATGGTAATTTTGCGGGTAATAAAGCGATAATGTTTTTGTTTCCAGGCAGATGCAGCAGTTAAATCTATAAAGAAGAGGCTTCAAAAATCTGATGATGTAATGGTTTGTCCTCAATCAACCTTCTGGTGCGCAGCAGCTCTCAGTTCAGTGTTGAGGGCTATAGAAAATGATTTTATTTATTCACAGAAGCCATCAGTGGTAAAACTGTCTTTTTGTAGTTTATTTCAAAACTACGACATGAACCTGACAATTACCTCTGAAACGCGTAACACACCGGTAGTTGTCTACAAAGCTTCTGTCTGGGTTTGGTTTGAGTTGATTTATTTCTGGGCTAATAGAGCATAAGTAGACACTCAATCACTGCATGTCACTGGCACAGTTGTATAAGCATTTGTTTAGCAATGTACCTCCGCTGCTTAAGTGCCCCCGAGTAACCTAATCTTTTGCTTCTGAGGAAATGAACAAGGAGAGAAGAAAGTAACAAAAAGCCAGCAAAAGCACATGTCTTCAAAAGAAGTATTGTATGATGCTGAATAGATATAAATGGACAGAAGGATGCAGAGGAGGTGGAAAGTAAAACATGGCAGAGAGAGAGAGAGATTGTGAGAGAGAGGACAAAAGCAGAGAGGACGAGAGGAATTTGGAGAGGTGGACGAGAATGTTAATCTGAGGAAGGCAGCAGGGAGAGAAAAGCTATTTTCCTCTCTAAGCCCCACGCCCTCACTTCCTGTCCCTGCTGTCAATCAGAGCAGCTGAAGTGCATCAGACAAAAGATCCCCCCCCCACCCACCCATATCCTCCAACCACCACCACAAACAGCAGCACCAACCAACCAATTAACTACTCTGGTCAGAGGACCGAAAGTGTGTGTGTGTGTGTTGCAGGGTGGAGGATTCTCATGTTCATCAGAGACCCCCATTTACAAATCTCTCTCTCCCTCTGTCTGCATTCACGCAGGCACCATGCACAGCCTCCACCCTCACACTGACGAGCTCATTTCTGTAGTCTAAGTGTGGCTCCGTGGGCCCCTAATAGCGTAGCCAATTAGTGCCAGTGTCCGACTTGGCTGCTTCTCCAACTCACTGGTGGTCCCACTGAGGGACAGAATGGCTCCAGTGAAAAGGTACAAGTCCACAAAGAACGACCTGACAAAGACGTGTGTGTATAGGCTGCATGTCACAGCAGCACACAAGACTAGAAATACTCTGTGTGTGTGTGTGTGTGTGTGTGTGTGTGTGTGTGTGTGTGTGTGTGTGTGTG